GGTTGGTTTCGAACTCCTGAGCTCAAACAATCCGCCCACCTCGGCCTCCCAGAGAGCTAGGATTACAGGCGTGAGCCACCACACCCGGCCTGTCTTAAATTCTTAATGAAGAAACTAATATTTAATGACTAACAATATGAAGCACTATAAATACAAAACAAAAGGAAAACTAAAATGTATTAATAATAATTTCTGTTAAATAATAGCTATGACCACACTCAGGGGAGGGAAGAATAACATGAGATGAAGGAAGAAGAAAAAGAACAGGAAAAAGAAGAAAGAGGAGGAAGACAAGGAGAAGAGAGGAAAAATCTTTAGCTGTGCTGAAAGTAGCATAGTACAGAAGTTAAGATCTAGTCTTTGGGATCATAAAGATCTAAGTTTGAATGGCTCCTCTGTTACTAAGACCTTAGGCAATTTACTTTACTTTTCTAAGTCTTAGATTCCTTATTGATAACATAAGGATAAGTACAGTGCCTACTCCTTGGGTCTATATGAGTCTGTAAAGTGTTTAGTGCCTGGGACATAATAAGCACTCGATAGATTTTGATATATGTATCAATCTAAAACTGAATACTATGTCTGAAGCACTTTCCTAAGCATTTAAAATAGGTGTACTTAACCAATGAATCTAATCTATTTTATGTATATATAGCATGTGTCCTATCCTATCCATCCATCCATTTTATTCTCTTCATATATAGGTAAGAAAACTAAGGTACAGAAGATTAGATCAGATGTCTAAGATCACACAGTTAATTAAAAGAAAAATTAGTAATAAAATACTGGGATTTTGTCTCCCAGTCAACTATTCTTTAATTGATAACTACTTTTGTCAGGCTAATGATAATTTTTAATGCATATTTATATTTGCCTTTTGATCTCTAGAATGGGCAGCCTGAAAAAAGTATACTTCTGGTAAACAAATGAACTATTCATTTTTTGCAAGAAATGTCAAGATTACCAATAGATTCTACATACATGTTAATATATTCACATGAAAAAAATGTACACACACTTATGACTTTCTTACCTGGTCCATTAAGAAAGTCTTTAATTTGTAGTGTTACAAGGGAAGGTGGAATACCACTTTTGCTGTCTATTTCTCCAGGCACTGTCTGCAGCCAAACAGTGCAATAATCAAGGACTTCGGGCAGAGTCTTCCCAGGATCTAAAGTGACAAAATTGGAATTAAAAACATCAATTACATCACAGACATGTCATTTTGGAGTATGAGTTTGAGTTGATAAATGAAAGGAAAAAATGGTTAAATAATTATATGCAAACTTTATTGTTTCATTTGTTTGTACACATACACTACACATGTACTTGTATCAGAAAAGATGAACTATCTCTGCACAAGGTGGGATGACAAAACCATGTTTTCCACAACCAGGCCAAAGAGAAAAAAAATTCTCAAATCTTAACTCACATCATCTTTGAGTGAAGGTAAAGTTTGTGAATGCTGAGCCACTGTTAACAGTTTAATAGCTGGGTATTTTTAAAAATGTGATGTCAGAAACAAATTTTAAATAAAGATCAGTCTTGTCTTAAAAAAAGGCATATACATGTTCAAAGATACAGTGGATTAGTACTACTTACGGCTATTTGATCTATTTCAGAGTTTTACTTACATTACAATCACTTTTTACTGCTAGGCCTTTGAAGTTAACTTCAGTAGCTTTCCTATAACTTTTAATGATAAAAATTGGTCAATCTTTTAATAGTCTCAATTATGATGAAAACCTGAACTTTTTCTGTTTTGACTTTTTAATATT